TGAAATTCTTGTCTCTCAGCCAGGCTGGGGGACGCCGTCATGTGCCATTATCGATACAAGAGCTGGGCTGCAACTTCAGCGTTGCCAGACTGAGGGGGAGGACTCTTACTCTTTGGCAAGTGGATTTACTCTGCCTCTTCTCAAATAAGCCTTAAGCTTCCCCCTCCCCAGCGTGCAGAAACAGCAGAGTGGGACCCCAAAATCATCATTATTTATAGGTACATATTGCCCAGACTTGTTTTTTTTTTAATGTATGATTAATTTCTTGTCTTGTTTTAACATAACATGTGATGGCAAAAGCTCACCCTGGGCCTGATCAAGCTATGTAGCAACAATACATGGAATGAAGTTTGGCAATCAAGTATTTCATGCTGTATGAACAAGGATGCCAGAAAGCAACCTATTAATAATTAAGAGTTTTCATTACAAAATCATAAATAACTAAACCTTGCAGACACACAGTGTGAGGGAGTTTGATGGTACAAACCTCAGTGATAGTGGTACTGAGATCTCTTGTCAGCTTCATGGTCTGGTGACACCATTCAACACTGAGTGAAAACCCAAAACAGAACTTTAAATAAATTTCTTGGGGAGCTGGTGTAGATATTGGCAATGAGACTTGAGGAGCAGAATTTAATGAGAGTTTGCTGCTAATCAGCTTAAGGCTGGGCCAGAAAGGATGAGGCAATGCAGTGTCTTAGTTGGGATACACACAACTGTATCAGCCATAACAATGCCAACAGAAATACAGAAACTGAGACCTTCAAAGGTCCTAAAAGAGGGGCCAGAATAATGGCAGAGTGTGGGGTTCTGCCTCAGAAAACAGGAATTAAGGTACTGACAGGGGGAGAGGATGTGCAAAAGCTTTAGCCTTTCCTAGGAGCTGCTCTCAAAGTAGTTGCTCTAAAAGTGAAGCTGCTCTAGCTGTTTGCTCTTTCTTTTCTTTTTAACAGGAATTACAGTAGCATGGAAGGGAATTCTTCCTAATGGACAACTGAGCACATCAGGACTCCTGAGAGAGATTCTGAAAGCTGGAATCATGCTGAACAAGCCGGTGCTGGTGGAGTCCCTGGTGGTGTTTGCCATCGTGCTCTCGGTGCACGGGGTGGTGTGGGACCGGTTCTCCTGGTGCGCCCTGGCCTTGGCCCTCCAGGCCTTCTACGTCCAGTTCAAGTGGGACCGGCTGCTCCAAGGCGGGGGAGCCGTGTTCCAGTTCCGGGGGGCGGCCAACAGCGGCCTCCTGCCCGCCAGCATGGTCATCCCCCTGCTGGGAATCGTCATGAAGGAGCGGTGCCGGGCCGCCGGCATCGTGTACTTCGAGCGCTTCGGGGTCGTCGTGGCCTCCACGGGGATGCTGCTCGCGCTCTTCCTGTCGGTGCTGGCGGTTGGCATCACCAAACCCGTGCCAACCAACACCTGCATCCTGACTGGCATGGCCGGCAGCGTCATCGTCTACACCATGAAACACTCCCTGGCTGTCTCAGAAGTCATAGAGGTCCTGGAAGTGCTGCTCATCTTTGTCTACCTCAGTATGATCCTGCTGTACTTGCTGCCTCGGTGTTTCACTCCCGGGGAAGCGCTGCTGGTTCTTGGAGGTGTGAGTTTTGTCCTCAATCAGCTCATTAAACGCTCACTGAATGTGGTCGAGGGCAAAGGGGATCCCATTGACTTCTTCCTTCTGGTGGCAGTTGTTGGAGTTGTTCTCCTTGGTCTTTTTTTCACTGTGCTTTTCATTTTCATGGATTCGGGCACGTGGATCTCCTCCATGTTCTTCCACATGATGACAGCAGTGTTGGGCTTAGGGGTCATCATGCCTTGGCTGTACAGACTCATCCAGAAGAACCCTCTGCTCTGGCTGCTGCAGTTTCTGTTTCAGACAGAGACAAGACTTTACCTTCTCGTGTACTGGACCCTCTTGGCTGCCTCAGCCTGTGGGGTGGTTTTCTACCAGAACGCAAAGAGATCGTCTGAATCCAAAAAACACCAGGCCTCCACTATCACCAGGAAATATTTCCACTTCATTGTTGTAGCCACTTATGTCCCTGGACTCATTTATGACCGTCAGCTCCTCTATGTTGCTGCAGTGCTGTGCCTGGCAGTGTTTATCTTCTTGGAATACGTCCGGTACTTCAGGATCAAACCCTTTGGCCAAACCCTCAGGCATTTGCTGTCTCTCTTCTTGGATGAAAGGGACAGTGGCCCTCTAATCTTGACTCATATTTATCTCCTCCTTGGCATGTCCCTCCCAGTGTGGTTGTTCCCCAGATCTTGTGCTCCCAAAGGCACCTTGTCTGGGGCAGGAGCACTGGTCCCCTACTCTGGAGTGTTGGCAGTGGGGGTAGGAGACACTATTGCCTCTGTTTTTGGCAGTACAATGGGGGAGATCAAATGGCCAGGAACAAAGAAGACCTTTGAAGGGACAATGACATCTATTTTTGCTCAGATCATTGCTGTGGCCCTGATTCTGATCTTTGACAGCAGTGTGAATCTGAACTCCAGCTACGCCTGGATTCTGGCATCTGTGAGTTTGGTTTCTCTGTTGGAAGCTTATACCACCCAAATTGATAACCTGCTGCTGCCTCTCTACCTCCAGATCATGTTCATGGCATAGAAGCACTTCCAGGAACAGAGGTTTCTCCCTTCCTAGAGAAAAGTGGTACTAGAAAATGCACTGTAATGGAAGCTCAAAGCTGACCTAAACACTACTTTTAGTACAGCAGAGAAAATAGTTAAAATCAGAAATGAGACTTACTTAAAATAAAGGTTTTGGTTTGGTCTTGTTTCCCTCCCTGTTGAAAACAGCCTGAGTTAGGTTCTCACAGCAACAAATATGACTGATAAAAACAGCCTATGTTTAATAATCCAACTATCCAAGTTTCTTCTGGGGGTCCAGAGGCAAAGGAAGCAGAGGAAGAAGAGGTAAGTCAATTAAAGGGGAAAAAATAAATCAGCAGATCTCTCAGGTGTTGCCACCTCTGTATTGTACCTTGTTTTCCATACTGAGTCCTGCATCTTGTATTAGTGAACATGTGAACTCTCATTTCTGCATGAGCACCATGTAAAGCATGTTTGATAACAAGGGTGGGCACTCAGAGCAGGTACAAGAGTCCAACTGTGTCCAGTCCATCAGCAAGAGCCACAAACACAACTCCAAACTCAGTAGCTGCCACATCCATGGTGGGGGGGGAAGGTTTGGGAATGTCAGACACTACTCATTCCAAGCCCTACTAATAACAACAGTACATTTTTAGCCCTGAAGTTCTATTCAATGAGAAGAATGTTTTGTCTTTCCCAAGATTTTAATCTCTAAATCCATTTGGAATGAATATGGGTGGGGGGGGAAATAAAGCAAAGTCACAGCTAAAACTAATTACACATTAATTCTGAAAGCAGAAAATCTGTTCAAGTCAATAAAATTTTCTACTACTACTGCACTTTTCTACTTTTCACATTTTTTTCAGCCAGATGTTTAATTAAATAACTTATAAAAATCCTTTTATCAACAAATTGAGTAAAGCCATTGAATTCTGCCCACTTACTTAATTAAAATTACAACTACTGTTTTGTGGCCAAAAAACCCACCTCATTTTTATGTGTTAAACACTTCTGTACTGACAGTCTCTTTCACTGGTTTGCCAGGTGTCCACTAGAACAAAGCACACGTGGCCTCCCTGCCTCTGCCCTTCCCCTGAGATGTGTCCAAGCAGGAGACTGGCATTCCAGGATTCCTGTTTGCATCCTGAAGTTAACTTCTGACCCCTTTTTAATTCGCTTTTGGGAACAGTTTGGGGAGGGTCCAAGGTGCCTCACACAACACTGTCCTGCTGAGACTGTGTCTTGGGACTAAGACCCAGGGGTGAGTGAAACCAGTCTCTGGGTCAGCAGAGTTGGCTCCAGAATCCAATATTTGTGTCCCTGCAACAAGCCAGGACTGGAATAGCTGAGAGGCAGCATTGCCCAATTCACCCCCTGCCTGGGCAGAGCTCCTGGGACTTGGTGCTGCTTTTCCTAAGGAGGCCAAAGTTGGCCAGAGCCAGTTAATAAGGAAATACATTGTCAGATATTCTCTGTAGGAAACCAAACTCAGTAACTGTACTGGGCTGAGTTTCCTTCACTTTTTAGCAGGAAATCCTGCCAATCAATCCAGATTTTTGCTTTTACTTATGCACTTGAACGAGGTGGTTTTGCACATTGCAGGTAGTGGTGCACATAATCAAAGGACAAACTATCCCTCCTCAGCAGAATTCTAAATTATTAACTCCTCTCATGGAAAGACACAGACAAAGCTTGAGCTGCTTCTGTCACAAGCCAAAGCCTTCACCCTTGATGGAATAAAATAGCACCACAGGTGAGGGAAGGCACTTCTTTCCACCCTGCTCACACCTTTCAAACAAACTGTATAAAAGGCAGTTTCTAAATGCAGAAACTTTGCATTCAGTGTTACTGCTGTTGTCATTACCCAGCTCCCCAGTTCCTGCCCCAGCCACCTGAGCTGTTCCTCTGTGAGGAATTCTTTGCTGGATTCAACCTACTCTGCATTGCCCAAAGGGCTGAAGGGAAACTTTTTTCCCTTAAAGAAACTAAATTCACCTCAAACAAATGCCAGAGATAAGCAATATCCATTTGCAAGGGATGAGTCAGTAAGAACTGGGCTCACTCTGCCACAGCTCTGACAGTCTGAGGGTTACTCTGATGTAATTCATGCCTTGGTGACACCAGGCTCATATCTCACGGCTGACACTGCATCAGTGCTGCTGAAATCACACCTACACAGCTTCTGTGCAGTTCAGGACACAGGCTTGAGCTTGCCTTGGATGTAACTTTGGTTTCCAAACATTCCTTGCTGTAAGTTGCCTTGGCTTTGGTGAGGTTTTGGGGGCAGAAATTGTTCTTATGCATATTGAGAGCTCAAACTGCTCCTCAGACAACCTGGTGCTGGCCCCATCTGTTGGGAGGTCACACTGTGTCTTCCTCAAAGAAAAGATGATGGAGATGAAAAGGAGAATTTCTATTCTTTTATTAAGTGCAAGGAGTTGGATTGAGATTCTTTGCTCCCACCATTTCAACATAAATCTTTAAGAACTGTCATATTTTTAATCAACACACCCAGAGATCAAACATTCAACCACAGTTTGCTGGGAATACTTAGAAGATTGATTATAAAAAGCAGAGTTCCTGCTTCATTTTGCCCACAACAGGGCTGTTTTAAATCACTGTTACTCCAACAACAGGGCAGAGACCTAAGGGTGAAAGTCAACCTTCTTCCCATGACACGTTCACCTGCACTGCTGGGATCAACACAGCCAAGAAATGCACTTAAGCTCTTAAACTGAATCTGCAAGAAGAAATACTTCTTAACTGGTCCCAGTCAAGGTGCAGTGGTCTTGACTGGTCTGTTCTCAAGACTGAAGAGGTTTCCTTACTGAAAGGACTGGGTGGCTACTCTCACACTACAGGGCTCCTGCTGCAGCAGGAGGTTCTGTCTCCTGCAGGCGTGTTGGGCTGTGACAAAGGTCCTTGTTCCCAGGATGAATTAACCTTGAGAGCTGCCATAAGGGGAGGTCATGTTTAAGGGGAACATGAAGGAACAATCAGGAATATTGATCAGCCAGTCACTGACTTCAAGTGTAGAGTGATGGAAAAGGCAGTTCAGGAGTTGGCTGGAGCCTGGGAAGGAAGGAAGGAAGGAAGGGAGAAAAACAAAACTTCAGAGGCTGTTCCAGTGCTGCAGGTACAAAATCAGTGCTAAGCAGGACACTACCAACAACCTGTGACAGACAAGACCACCAGTGACAGTTCATCCTGGCTCCAGTTTCCTCAGCTGCCTGTGAGGATCACGACCTTACCAGTTCTCCTTGCTCCAGGTGGTGCCCTTGGCCTCCATCACGTGGAAGGTGAACGCGTGGCGAGAGAACTCCGAGCTGTTCAGTTCACTCTTATGGACAACTTCCCCATGGATGAGGATGAGTCCACCTGTGGGAAAGAAACCCCCGTACTGCTGGGGTTTTTTTCCAAACGGTGGAAAGCTCCAGCTTTCCAAAGGAAGGGTTAAATACAATTTTAGCTCCCTTGTGTTTTCTTGGGCTGCGAAGTGACACATTTGGGGCTGTTTGTACCTTTCTTTATGGGCAGAGGGATGAACTGACTGTCATCATAGGCTGGCTCTGACCCTACAAACTCCACACATGTTGAGGCACCTGAAGGTGCACGAACCATCCTCCGGGTAATTCCATCTGCAAATCCACAAACACAGAAAAATTAAACATGTAACTACGTTCTGCACAGCAGAGGAACAATATCCGTGATTTATCAAACTTTATTATTGCTATATTCAATTTTTCCTTAGTAATTTGGGCAGAGTCTTTTTCATTAAGCAAAGATTTAGGATTTTCCAGCTGTGGCAGAAACAGATAAACAACTGCCTTTTGTTTGCCTTTCTGGCCCCTTCTGTGCATTGCAACAGACCTTTTTGGACACAAACAGTCCCAGGCTTCTGCAAAGCCAACCTTTGGTCCATTTATCCTTTCTATAAGAGCATAAATCACAATCCAAGTGCAGCTGACTCCAGGATTTGAGGGATGAGTGCCTTAAAATCTGAAGAGCACTATTCACTGAGGGAATGTTTAGGTGAGCAGTAATTTAAAGCTGCTTAATGTGCTCTAGAGGTGGTGAAAACAGAACTGTTAATCCAGTAGTGGTCACCCACACAACTCTTACTGGTGTGAGAGCCAGGGATGAACCACAGGCAGCCATTCTCCTGTGTGGCATCTTCCAGGGCAATCCAGAAGCCCAGGATCCTGCCCAGAGGCTCCGTGTGCAGGAAGGTGGCATCCTGGTGAGGTGTCACTGCAAGGAGAGATGGTCTTTTAACCCCTGAGGAATTCAGTTCCACAAGAAGGACTTCAGGCTTGCACCTCCCTGGCTCAGTGTCCTCCCCTGCCCACCCATCTAAATTAAATCTTACAGTAAAATACCACCTCTCAGGCTGCTGCAGATGTAAAAGCAGCTCTTTGTTCAAGCTGCACATGAAGTAGAAGCACTTCTAGAAAACGTGGATTTTTAAAAATAATTTTAAGAAGGTTTGGACCACCAAACTCACAGGCTTAAGTCTGATTCTGAGCCTTTTTCCTGGTAATATTCCTTTCCCAAAGGAGCATTCCCTGCAGAGTGATATAGAGATAATAAAAGTCTCACCTTCACCACCAATGCCAGGTTGCTGCAAGGAAAGAAAGGTGATGTGTGAAGAGATTCAGAGCTTCCCACCTAACAGGGTCTTTCTTGAGTGACAAGACAACTTGAATCACTGTACCTTGAAGATATACATGCTTTGCACAACTACTGGTCTCTCAAGGCCTAGTTTTCTTCCCAATTCCTGCAAGAAAACTTTCCAAGATTTATGTTTGCTGTTTTCTGCACACCATATAACATTATTCTGGGAAGATATTTAAATTTCTTTTCACTGACAAAATGACTATCATTGGGAGTCTGGAAAATTAAGATTAACTACTCCATAATTTATTTATTTTTCCCCCAGACCAGTCTAGGAAGCAGTAACAGCTCACCTGCACCTTGGAGGAGTGGGTGATTTGCTTGAAGACAGGATCATAAGCATGTAGAGCTGAGGGGAAAAAAAAAAAAAGGCTCAGACTGAAGATTTCCTGAACAGAAGGGAACTTGGTAGCCGTCAGGATGAGCTGGAGAGGCCACAGCCAAGCAGGATAAATTGCAGCCAGAAACTTTCATGCCTCCCAAGATGGATAGACATGGATTATCACACCTAAGGTGATAGGACACTTGTAGGTTGTACAATCACACAATCATCATTAGAGACCATAAATATAATCACTCCCTGGCCACAAACTGCAGATAAATAAAAAAG